ATGTATCGGTCATCAGGACTCAGTGCCTGTTGAATGGAAGGAGAGATTTGGTGCCAGTAGTTCAATGCTTGTTTTAATATAATTCTTCCTAACCAGGAGAAAAAAAGGTAAGCAGTAAAATTTCTGTTTCTTCTGACTCTGAATGGCACATGCAAACATTAAGCCAGGCTTCTGTACCGACAATGGAAGTACAAATATTATGATAGTGACTTTCTCATTTACTAAGACAAGCGACACCAACTACGATGTCCAGTGAAAGACACTAAGCTGTAACAGTACAGGTGGAAGTTCCACTACATTTTAAAAACAAACTTACCACATTGAAGAGCTCAACCAACATGACAGACTGCGTGAATTCCCATATACCCACATATTCACATCACCAAGTCTTCTGTGACTGCACCATGAAGACTTTTTTGAACACTCTCATTCCAAGAATACATAACCCTTTGGTAAGCCTGTTTCCTTATCAAACTCTGCAAACACAAACTCAGTACAAAGAAATCCAAACCATATACTTCACTTATAGAATAAAGAGCTCCCAAATCTGGGACAAGAGCAACAATGAAAGATCCAAACACAAGCAAGAATGAAGAATTGTACACTAGCTACACAGACGCATATACTTACAACATCCAGTAGCAGAGACAAGTGACCCAGCTCAAGTTTTCCATCTGCTTGAGGTTCTGCTATTGAGTAAGAATAGACGTCACCAGACTTGTCCGCAACCAGAATCTTATCCTCTGCAGCTGTAATAACCAGGGAAGTGCATCTCCTGGTCACACACCTGAAAGAAAAACAGCACAGTTTGAACAGGATGGCACCTACAACAAGTCTGGATTCGGACCCAGTTAAACAGACCAAGAGATAAAAAGCTCTCAAATGCAAGTTTCTTGAAATGGCAGCAATGAGAATAATGTTAAGGGAGGGTATGGGCCAAAACAGCCCTTTTGAGACCTATTATATGACTAAACTATGTCCTAGCAAACAGCAGGGAGGGTGGGAGAAAAAAGAGAGACCATTAAAACTGCATGCCTGCACTTTGCTTAGGTACTTTCTCAACTGAGCATTTTGTCTAGGCAGCCTGCCAGTACTCTACAGAAAGCAGGCAGACTTTCTTGCACTCTCCACAATAAAAATAAAAGTTAAATGCATAGAAAATAGAAGACAATGTAGCAGTTCTCCTAGTAAGTCCTTTGCAGCAAGACATCTAGAAACTGTGCTGAAACTATTTCTCCAGTTGACAATTCTTACCATAAAAGGAAGCCCTCCTTTATGAGCCTCACAGGCTCTTCTTCCTCCCTGCATCCAGTCAGTCATCCACAGTCTCAGGATACCTCGTCCAAGCAGAGCCCTGAACCTGAACACTGACTTCCCCTCATCACCTGCCAGTATCTTACAGTTCCAGTTGCCAGTGTAGCAGGTAACAGTTCTCTTACAACTTTTCAGATAAATGTAAGAACCACGTATGTTAGAAAACAAGTTTTAAAAAAGGTTAAATCACTTAGTCTGAAGAATGCTTCTGCAACTTAACAGCTACTGTTAGTACTGTTATTTTTTGCTTTCCATAACACCTCTTTTCCAAACCCCTCTATGTCTTATGTGCTAACACAGGACTGCAGACACCAGGAATCATAGGGAATGAACATTTCTATTCACCTACTGTGAAATTTGGTGACCGCCTGGAGGCAACAGAACAATACACTATCCTTCAGGTAGGAAGACAGAATTGTAATAGTTTTTAGTGACTGTTTATAAAGGACCAAAGAGAAAACATATAAGACAAGAATACCTACTGACACATTCCAGGCTCAGGCAGCACAGTTTTAAAACAGGTTACCTTGCCAGCAAGAAAAAGTCTTGCACCAAGTTCCCTGTACTGCCTTTAATATTAAGCACAAAGATTCAGAAGTTCCTTGTCTGGAAGAAGCTGACTACAAAAGCACTACACAAAAACCTTTATACAGTTTGCCACAAAACACCAATGCAAGTTACGTAGCTCAACTTTGGAATTCTTTTTTTCATGCAGAGACTTTTTTGCCTGTATTCCCAGTTTCCTAACAGGAGGTAATGACATTCCCCAAAAATGCAGCTGTCGTCCTGATTGATCTTTCACCAGAAAACTGAAATATCAAATTATCCAATCATGTATTATGAGCAAGACATATAATGTACAGCAGCAGTGAAAACAGAAAGCAGAATGAACAGAAATTTGCTCTCTCTGGTTTTGTCAGTGATTATTTACTCACTACAACATTGGTTAACCCACCAAAGGTCCATCATACACCCCTCACACAGCCAAGCTGACACAGACTCCATTTTCTTTTGCAACCAGGGTCTCACATTTGTTAGAGATCACCAGAAACAGAGACACCACATGCTGAGGCACTTTCTCAGGAACTCCTTCATGGTCCTCTTACTTTGCAGACAATTGTCACAAGCAGCAGCAGAAAACTTGAAACTGGAGGACCTCTAGTGGACAGCTACAGACTGTCTTCAAAGACTGAAGGAGAACAATTGCCAGCATCTCTAAAGATGTGCTTTTAAGTGATTTCTCAAACTCACAAAAACATCTCTTCCTCTGAATCAACAGAAATGGACAGTGCACTCATTAAACTTGTCAGTATCACTCCTACAGGCCCACCCTAATGTTCACGAGGCTTATGTAAAATTTCAGGTCTTAAAATGCAAACACTGTGTTTTAGAACAAGAAAAGAGACTATCCTTTCTTTGGCCAACAACATAAACATACGCAATTCCATTCCTGGTGTGGGGCATTAGCATGAATCACTTTCCGACAGATATCTTTGAATTCCCAAGAACATTAAATTTGTTTGAGGAAGTACAATCTAAAAAAAAAGGCTTACTGAAAACAAATGGCAACATCGCAAGTACTACTATTGTATAACTCTAAATTAACCAGCCATACCTCTGTAACAAAGTGACATGCAACATCCTGCTTCCTTACCTGATGCTAACACATTCCCAAGAAGGCTTCGTACGGAACAGAATCAGACGTTTGTTGTCATCTGTTAAGGCAAAATAATCTCCTGATGGAGAGAAGGCAAAAGCTAGGATGTCATCACTTCCTTTATCTGCCTGTTTTCCACCCTGCCTAATAGAGAGAAGAGGAACCACAGTTCACAACCTGAGAGTTACTGAAATCCTGAAGAGAAGGTTGCTGTCACACCACCAAGAAGGAGCATGAAGAACAAAGTACAGCTATAAAAGTTTTATGGTTAAAATGTTGGATCAACTTGAACAGTAATGCAAAGAAAAAAAACAAGAAAAAGGAAACTGATACAAAGACTAAGTCTGTATTGTTACCTGCTGAAAACCAAACAAACAAACAACACTCCCTAAAAATATAAACAATGAAACAAAACCAACACTAGGGTTTATGCTAACAAGTCTGTACACAAATTGCAGAGAAAACAGTGAAATTGGATACAGGTAAAACAATGTTCAGTGGTTGAATTTAAAACCAAGAAAAACACTTTTCCCAGGGTTTGAAATCTCATGACTTACAGAGCAGACCTGAAGGATGAGTTATGTAACAGATCTGTGGGTTTTTTTTCTAACTTAGATGGTCTAATAAAAAATGCAGCATTTTTCCATAGCTATCTTGATTGAGAAGAGCCATACAGAATCATTGATTAAACTACTAGTGTTCCTCTAAACAAGAAAAAGGTGTAGCCACTCCTCTGGGATGGAAAAGAAACAAAAAAATAATATATATATCCACCAGGGTTAGCAAAAACACCATCACCTGATAGAGCAGTCATTCCATTAATTTGTTTTCTCATCTTATAATTTCATCAACTTACTATTATTACCATTATTTTTATTATCTTATTTTTATCATCTCTCTTATGTTATTATTTCATCATGATCACATAATCTCAGAAGAAGATGCACCCTCTAAGAAAACAGCAGATTACCTAAGCAGATTTTCTCACCCTTGATTTCCTAAGGTGGGCTTCTCTGCATTGACACAATCGAACACGAAGAGACCATCATCACTGCAAACAGAAAAGCAAGACTAAAAACACTGGAACTAGAACAACGATGAGCTTAACTATGAATAGCGCCAACTCTTTTGTAACACACTATTATTATTTTCCTATTTCACAACACGCAGAAGTACCACCTCTGCCGAATGGGCTCCCAATGAGCTACAGAAACAGAAGTTTAAACCTTGGGTCGCACACACCAAAAAGAAATTCTGAACTGCTGGCAAAGTAACCATATATTCTGCATATTGGAGAGGTTTAGACTGGGCATTAGGAAAAATTGTTCATAGACAGGGTGCTCAGGCATTGGAACAGGCTTTCCAGGGAAGTGGTGGAATCATCATCCCTGGAGTTAAAAACTACAGGTGAAGCCCTTAGGGACAGGGGACACGGTTCAGTGGTGGTCTTGGCAGTCCTGGGGTAATGGTTGGACTTGATGACCTTAAAGGTGCCTTCCAACCTAGTTACTTTCGTCAAACTCGACGCATTTGCCCATCTGTGGGTGCACAATCGTGCCAGAAAACCGTCAAGACTATAAAGCTCAGAAGTGGCGTTTCAGTAACAGCAAAGTCTACCGAGGAACGCCCCAAGGCCTGCGCCTGGCCGTGCAGGACTTTCCTGAGCGGTAGCATCGGAACATCCTGCACTCTCCCACCACCTCCCCCGGCTGCCACGGGGGAAGGCCCCGCCACCCCCTGCAGGGGGTTGCAGCGGGCCGACCTCTATTGCTCAGATCTGAGGCCCCCCAAGCCCCGGCACTGACCCGGGCTCCCTGTACGGCGCCGCCAAGAGCTTCCCGCCGCCGCTGGCGGCCATCAGCGCCCCACGGAGCGCCAGCGCCGGGCCGGGGCTACGCCGCCGACCCCCGCCGCCACCACAGCCGCCATCACCCTCCATCCGTCAACACCGCCACGTGCGGGACGCACAGTACCGGCGTCACTGCACGGGGCGATGACGTTGCAGGCTGTGCCGCGCCTGCGCGGTAGGGGAAGACTGTGTGAGGGAGCGTCACTATTCCGGTAGCTGCTTCCGGGCCTAGCGCCAAGATGGCCGCTTCTTCGCTGCTGGGCTGTGGGCGGGCGGTAAGCCGTAAGGGAATGCGTAGGGAGGGAGCTGGATGGGGTATGGAGAGAGGGGCACAGAGGAGCTGGGGTTGCTCGGTAGCACAAGCCCCGCGGCGCACCACCTTCTCCCACAGGCCCGGGGGGGGGGCTGTGCGCATGCGTGGGGCAGAACCACAGCGCCCCCTGCCGAGCCCTTTGGCTGAGGTGACTGGTGGCACCTCCATGCATAGGGCATGGGGATTGCGGGTGGGCACGGCTCCCTCCGGGGCTCCCTGGATACCGCCTTTATCCCGTTTTCTTCATCCCCAGGTGTTGCGGCTGGAAGTCCGGGGGCTGCGAGGGCAGGTCCCCTCCGCGGAGCTCTGCACCAAGCCGGCGGGCTCCGGGAAGCCGCCAAAGAGTAAGATGTTTGCTTCGCCCTTCAGCGCTGGTGGAGGTTACATAAAAGGCAATGGATGTATGGCTGATCGTAGGAGAGCCTCTAGTTAACAGCCTGAAGTTCAAGGCTCCCGTGGGTGTCATTAAATAGGCAAGAAGAGCTGTCTTGGAGCTGCTGGTACATAAGCCAAGGGAGTAAAAGGTCATCACTGTGTAAACAAGGATTTCTTTTCAAACTTGCTGCATAGTAAGAAAACTGAAAGTAAAAGTCTAGTGGAAATTGGGTCTGTGTGGAATAAGAATGCAGCTGGTCATTGTTTAGACCCAGCCAGTAATTCGGCACCATGCAGCCATTTGCTCATCCCCCTTCCACCCTCCCCAGGCAGGATGGGGAGAACTGAAAGAATGTAAGCCCCATGGTTTGAGATAAGAACAGTCCAATAACTAAAGCATAATATAAAACTGCTGCTACTACTAATAATAATGATAAAGGAAATAACAAGGGGAGAGAATATAAAACTTAAAGGAGAAAAGACAATAAACAGAAGTGATGCACAATATAGTTGCTCCCTACCTACTGGCTGATACCCAGCCCTACCTGAGCAGCGATCTGGGCCTTCCAGGTAACTGCCCCCAGTTTCTGTACTGGGTGTGATGTGCTGTGGTATGGGATACCCCTTTGCCTAGTTTGGTTCAGGTGTCCCGTCTTTGCTCCCTCTGGGCTTCTCATGCCCCGCCTCACTGGCAGAGCATGAGACTGAAAAGTCCTTGACCAGGGTAAGCGCTGCTGAGCAACAACTGAACCATCGGTGTGTTATCACCATTGTTCTCAGACTAAAGCCAAAACACAGCGCTGCACCAGCTACTAGGGAGAAAATTAATTCTCTCTTAGCTGAAACCAGGACAGCTATAGTTATAAGGCATCCTATGAGCTTCATATTTACTTCCTGTTTACTTTCACTTTAATTCTTTAGCTGCTGTGATGCTTGACCAGACTTAAGGAGAGCTATCATTACATTTGTCTTAATATAAAGCAGCTTTGCAAGTTGCCTGAAATTTGATGGAAATGTGTAGCAAGTTACTTTTAATGATGTGCAAAATCTGAAGTTTGAACTTCAGATGTTCGCCCTTTTCTTCTGAAATGTTAGGATAATCAGGATCAAAAAGCATCCTGTTTTACAGAAAAGCACTTTGAAGATCCAAATACCTGCTCCAGGCAACAGAGGCAAGAAGCTGCAGAAAACTGTCACAGCCCTGTTGTGTTAAATTTAGATACAGTGCTTCTTGCCCCATAGGTTTGCAAGTGAGGCAGTACATGGACCTGGGTTTGCATGCTGTACTGCATTTGACATTCCCAAGTATTTGAACCCCTTCTGTCCCTGACCGAAGGCTAAACATGAATACAAATTTCAAAGAGGGATAATTGGTGCAAAATATTTGTAAATAGAGGCTCACTGTGTGTAGGAGTGAGTAAGATTCCATCCCAGATTAGAGATCCAGGTGCTTAAATAGCAAAGCTCCATGGGGCAGTAGGAGTAATCAGACTCATTGACAGCTGTTGAAAAGATCACTGGTGGAGTAGTTGAATGCACATTTCTGGCTTCTAATATTAGCTTCTCAAATGTAAGGGCAAATAAAACCTTGGTTGTTCATTAAGAAAGCCTAGATTGATATAAGCTTGATTGAACAACAAATTGCTTTTTATTATATATATTTTTGCATTATCTTAAGTGTATTTGAGATGTACTTTAGCATCAGTTTCTAGATTCTTTGTCCTGCAGCTCTGATTTCAGAATGTGTCAGGAGGCCTCTTAGGCCACCTCTTTCAGCCAGCTGTTTCCCCTGCAAATGGCTAAGGTTAGTTAAGCTGTATAGGATGCAGCTGTCTTTGTCAGATTCTGGATGGAACAGGATGTGAAAATTTTCTTTGGTTTGATAAAATGGTCATGGTTACACACAAACTCAGGATCGTATCTGTAATTTCTGCATGCATCTTTCTTAGTATGAACATGTTCTGATAATTATGCTGATGTTACAAGCATCAGTAAGAATACATCTGGGCATAATTTTCTTGTTACTAATTTGGATGTATTGTTCTTTTGTCAAAGTGATGCAAAGATAGATCAGGTGGTACAAAGTTTGAAGTACCCCAATTAAAATGTCTGTACCAGTTGTGTTAGACTTCATGATTAAAAGCTGAAACATACCTTTTTCATGTATCCAAATATTACTGTTTAAAGTAACAACTACTGTTAATGGTCAAGCTGAATGGTACCTACCTTCTTTGTTTCTTAGGATACTGAACATTAATACTTCGTCAGCTTTTGCTCAGCTTTTACTTCTCTGTCATCCCTTCAGGCATTCTCATTTTAGTTTGACCTTCCTGTACACTTCTTTGAAGACCTCTTAAATCCTGAGTGATGTTTACTCACAGTAGTTTCTACAGGCTGCTGTTTGGCTGTGTCAGTCTGTGCAGGGAATCGGGCTTCTTTCAAAGGTGACTGCCCATCTTCCTACTTCCCCCTGCCCTCCATCCTCACCCTGCACCTCCCATCTGTCAGAGAGAAGTATCTGAAATTGTTCAAAAGTATTACTGGCATACACAGAATAGTAAACTGGCATCTTTTTAATTTGTGCTTATGTTAAGAACTCTGTATTTCTTTATCAAATACTTTGCTTTTATTTTCATTTGTCTGTCTCTTCTGTGATGTTTTCGTTTGGGCATTGCTAAAGACTTGCTTCTGTTCCAAACTGTCATGGTTTAAGCCCAGCTGGTAACTCAGAACCACGTAGCCACTCTCTCACCTGCCCCCTTCTTTCCCCGCACTCCCGGAGGGTTGGGGAAGGGAATCAACAAAATGTAACTGCCACAGGTTGAGTTAAGAACAGTCAGGTAACTAAGGTATAACACAAAATCACTGCTGCTACCACCAATAATAATAATGATAAGGGAAATAACAAGGGGAGACAATACAGCTGCCCAACACCTGCTGACTGATACCTAGCCCAACCTAAGCAGTGATTTGGCCTTCCAGCTAAATCCCCCCAGTTTATATACTGGGCATGACGTGCTGTGCTGTGGAATGCCCCTTTGGCTGGTTTGGATCAGGTGTTCTGTCTCTGCTTCCTCTCAGCTTCCCTTCCTCCTTGGCAAAGCATGAGACTGAGAAAGTCCTTGGTCAGAGTAAACATTACTTAGCAACAACTAAAAACATCGGTGTTATCAGCATTGTTCCCAGGCTGACAGTCAAAAACACAGCACTGCACCAGCTACTAAGAGAAAAATGACTGCTATAGCTGAACCTAGGACACGAACTAATTGTATTACCTTCTTGGATCATATAAGGTATTACTGTGAAATACTAGTGAGGAGCAAAGCTGCATTTAGTTACAGTCTTGTAAAGTAGATCTGGGTTTAAATCTGCACAATAATCTGGAAATTGTTTAATTACACTGCTGGCTGCAAGTGGTGCAACTCACAACAGTTTTATGGCTTTACTAGGGCAAATTTCAGCAGTGGTGTATCTTCTCAATGTGCTCCCTGTCTTTTGTCCTCCCATTTTTTATAACCACAACAGTATTTACTGTTGATCAGCCTCCTGAGGATATCATTGGCATAAGCATCCAGGGGATACTTGGTACTCTGAAAGGGCATGAAAGTTGCTGGTATCTCTTCAACTGTTGGTTCCTTATCTGGAGAACTCAGTTAAATGAAAGTATCCATGAGGGAGAAGAAATGAAGGCAGGCTAACATGAAGCATTAGGAAGTCTTCAAAGACTTTTTTTACAAAGAGGTCTCAAAAAACAGGAGTGGAGATAGTGAAGACAGGAGGAGATAAGGCCTTTTGGAAATAAACTGTGTTAGAAATGATTCAGTTGGTAGATCACATAGACACATGAAGAAGTAATACTTTAATGTATGGCCTCACATCTCTCTTACTCTGTTTCTTGGGAGTCATTCCTCCCTACTGCTTTAAAGATAACTACTGCGAGAGGCTGGCTGTTGTTCTGCTTACCAAGTCTTGCTTCGCTGGCTTGTTCATAGACAAATATCTCTGTAGCAGCCTCGGCGAAAGCTGAATAGCTCAGCTAACAAGCTGTCTTAACCTTCCTCTGAGATAGGTAGGTGTCTGTAAACTATTTTCAATGATGCAGAATAAAAGCATGGAAGAACAGCCCTTGCAAGGAGTCTGGCAAAGCAAAGAGAAAAGTGCAGCAGCAAAAACTTAAGTGCCAACTAGAACTGTGGGGTTTTTAAGCTTCAAGTGTCTTAAAATTTTCAGCTTTATCATGCCTGTATTTAGTATAATAACTTCTTTCAGTTTGCTTTTTGTACCAGATTATCTCAGAAAGTTAAAATTGTATGACTAAGATCACTAAGTAGCATCAGTGTCGGATATAATGATGATAATCCTCTTTATGCCATTTCCTAGATCTAGTGGCACCACAGGGAAGCACCAAGCTGCTACCCGTCAAGGCACCAATTGAATTTCCTAAAATGTTGTCTTCTAGCTCTCTCCTAGCATCTGCAAACAAAGGTGAGAGCATATCTAGTACTAACCCTAAGGAACCTTCAAAACCATCTGCTGAAGATATGAGGAAGTTCATGTCAAGAAAAACTGTGGTTGAATTTCCTCAGCGAGTAGTTGTTTCTTCCCTTGAGGAGGAAAACATCACTAAACCTGCAACAGAAGGAGGATTGAGGAAGGAGATAGTTGAGGAAGAAACTTCATCTTCATCCAGCTCAGATTCAGATTCTAGCTCAGATTCTGAGGAAGAAAATGATGGTGATGATTCAAAAGTTGCCATCAAAACCAAAGCTGAGTTTCCTAGACGAGATTCTGTCTTTTCTGAGAACAAAGCGGTAAAGGCATCGATGCTAGCAAAAGATAACTTGTTGCAGAAATCCCATAAAGAATATGTGGGTAAGAAACAGCCACAAAAACCAGAAACTGATGTGTCTTCTATCAAGCAGGACACATTTTCTAAAACATCAGTCAGCAATGAAACATCAAAATCCAAATCAGGAGTCCCCAAAGTAAAATCAACTCCAAAAGAAGCAGATCGGCAAAAGCTGGTCTTAAAACCATGCCTGGTTGAAAGGCAAGACCTGACCAATGTCACTCATAAATCTGACTATTTGGAGGACAAGTCCATTGGAACCCAAAAAGCAGCTATTCAGCTGAAAGCTTCATCAGTGACTCAGGAAGACATAAAGCAAAAACTGGTATCCAGAGGAGAAGAAGAAATGGTGAAGGAGGCACAAGAGTCAGAAGCAAAAGTAACTGCTCCCAAACTAGAAGAAGACACTTCTGAAAGCACAATCTTGGTGATGGGCACTGCAGCAAAGGAGGAGACCATACAGGAAGCAGGAGTCGAGGCTGGAGCAAGCAGCACAATAGAGGGTACAGCTTTAAATTGTTTGAACTGTATTGATTCATCTGGGCTAGGGTTTAACTTTTTTTGTTTTTTAAAAGGGTTTCCAGATCTTCTCTGTTCATGATTCTCTGATCTTTATATTGAAGCTAACTGTGTAGCAATGACTTTTTGGAAGATAAATTCTTTTTCACTGCTGATTGTTACAGTGCTTGGTAGTACTCAGTTTCCAGTTATGCTGTGAAAGGAAGTGGTCTTCATTTCACTGTATTTATAGTTTCATAAGGGAGTTACTTCTAAAATGTAGACAAGATTGTTTCCACTATGAGCAAAATCATAGGTTTTATATGACAAAACTTGTTTTCCCTCTTCTCTTTGCTCAGAAGGATTTGGTAGCTGCCTTTCTCCTGTGCCAAATTCAGTGTCATCTGATTTTTGCTTAAATCCTCCTTCTTTTTTCTTTCTTTTTTTTTTTTTTTGTCCTTTAATCTTGGCAGTGTTTCAGGTAGTGCCAGAAGCAGGTATTGATTCTGAAATCAGCAGGTTGTAAACGAGTCATGTTGAAGTAGCGCAGTGTTGACATCATAACCCAGTTATTGTACTGAGTTGGGGAGGAGTCAGTGATACGTTTTTAGGAAAGAGCATTGTGTATCTTGCAGTCATCACCCTAGCTATACTTTCCCATCTAACTTTCCCTTTTTATTAACTATCAATCCTGTTAACTTACCTACTGATCTTATTCTGTGTATTTCAACAGCAGATGCCCCTCTGTCCTGACCTTACCATTCTTGCCTTTCAACTTAGGTAGCATACCATTCTTGAGACCCCTCTTGTGTTTGCTGCTTTGAATTAAAGAATTTGCCTACCTGGAAGTAAAAGTGGCATAATTGCGAAGTGCCTTGGATATCATCCTTGGAGTGATACTCTTGCTGAAAAGGCTCTGGGGGCCCAGGTGGGCAGCAAGTTGAAGATGAGCCAATGTGCTCTTGCAGCGAAGACCACCAGTGATAACCTGGACTGCATTAGGAGCAGTGTTGTGAGCAGGCTGGGAGAGGTGATCCTTCCCTGGTGAGATGCACCTAGAGTGCTGTGTTCAGTTCTGGGCACCCCAGTATGAGAGATGTGGAGCTACTGGAGAGGGTCCAGCAAAGTGCCACTAAGATGATGAAGGGACTGGAGTCTCTCTTCTGTGAGGAAAGGCTGAGAGAGCTGGGACTGTTCAGCCTGGAGAAGAGATGGCTTGGTGGGATATCGGGTAGTTACATAAATTTAAGGAGAGTGCAAAGTTAGAGGTAAGACGCTCTTCAGTGATGCATGGTGGAAGGACAGGAGGCAGTAGGTACAAGCTGAAACACAGGGTTTTGCCTGAACATCAAGAAGCACTTTACTGTGAGAGTTGTGGCGCCTCAGGTTGCCAAGAGAGGTGATGGAGCCTACATCCTTGAAACTGTCTGGACATGGTTCTGGGCAGCCTGCTCTAGCTGACCCTGCTTGAGCATTTGGGGTTGGACCAGGTGACCTCCAGAGGCGTCTTCTAACCTCACTATTGTGTGACTCTGTGAAATGTCTTAACCAGGTTAAGTGACAAATAATGGGGTTTATACATCCATTTCCAGGATGCAGGGCTGACTAAAAGACCTGCCTCCTGTTTTAAGTGGTTAGTCAGCTCATAATTTGATCTGGTTTATAAATTGGAAACTAAGATTATCATCTTTCCCCACTGCAACTCAAATACTCAGCTGCTGATAAAATGCAGCACTGTTTGCAAGTGACATTTTCATTTGCTTGCTCCTCCTAGCAGTCAGCAGCAGCAGCTTGTTCAAAAAAAAAAAAAAATTGGAGAAAGGCTATTTGTATTTATCTCTCTAGATGCTTTTCCCCTTGTTCATCCACAGTGGAATGCTAGATGCTCAAGCATTATTTCCACATTGTAGCTAATAGAAAGGCCCCAAATTAGTTCAGTTAACTTCAAATATGAGAGGGAGGACTCAGTCTTGAAACGTGCTGACGATTCAAGGTGAAGATTATAAAACATCAAAGATCAATGAAAACAGCCTCCTCTGCTCTGTAAATACTGTAAATCCAGATTAAGGTTAAGACCACATGACAGAATTTTCCTGCAGATCTGTATCTATGGGGCAATAGTCAGACACATAATCATAACTGCACCAACAAAACCCTTTGGGGTGGACATGCCTTTGCTGAGAGCAGCATTTATGCTGTTGAGTTCCTCTATGGAGGTGATAAGGCTGTGACAGCAGGAAAGTTTCTGCTGGGTATGTGCTAGAGGAGAGGTGGGGGTTAGTACAGACATGTTCACATCTCTTTCCTGCTGGTGTAATGTCTTTGGGTGCCAGAACATAGCCAAGTCAAACCCAGCTATATTTAACACATCCCTGGTATCTGCTGGCATATCTTGCTCTCTCTTCCTTTTGAAGCCTTCTTTGAGAACAGCTACTGTGTTTCCGTGTTTAATGTTCACAGTTAATGATGCCTTCTGTAATCTGTACTTCTGTCCTGTTCTGTGTTCTTCTGTTCATCTGCAAGCTCTGCAGCAGGCACACTGAAAATGCAAAAGCAATTTTTCGCATTACAAACCTGGATGTTAATGTGATGCCATCCGCACTGTAGAGCAGGCATGCTAAACAGTCAGCAAAAACTGCTGACTTCAACTGCTAAGTAGTGAAATAGTGGCATGGTAAGTCAGAAATACACTTTGATTCATTTCAGAAGAACATCCTGTGAAATGCATGCTCTTTAAGAAAGTGTAGATGAAATTTTAAGTATGGGGAGGATGAACTCTGGGATAAATTTTTCTTTCAAGAGCCAAGTACGGTGTATTTGGGGAGAAAAATGAGACTCCATATGCTTTTCTTCCTGAGCATCTGTCTCTTAATTTGGAACAACTGTCTTTTGCACGTTAAATGTACACTTGCCTTCGTTTGCCTGTTCTGGGGGCTGTTTGCATCAAAGACTGCATCATGTGGCTTTTAGCTTTGTAGCATTGTCTCCTATGAGCTGTCTCAGTAGGAGCTGAGCAATAGGCACAGGGATATTTCCTTTCATAGGCTGTGTGTGGTGTTCTGCTGAACCCATGGCTTACTATGGTATGTTTTATTAGTGAGTCTTGGTGAGTGTTACAGATACATGCTCTTAAACTGACAGCCTTACATCACAGTAGTTATGTCAGAATTAACGGGAAATTCTCGTGTTCAGTTGCTTGAGTTCTTGTATTTTTATTGTAGATTGTATTACAAAAGACGCTTAATATGATCTAACCTAAACCACTACATACAAATTTATATGATGAGACTTTTCACTAGATTATGCTTATGTCTTTCCTATTGTTAAGATTCTGGGCATATGAGAATAAATTAATACTGGGAGTAAAGTTTTATTTCTTGCAATTTCCTTGGTTGTAAAACCAGCCTGTAACAGGAACCTTTTATGTAAATGTACTGCCTAAATTTGCATAATATTCTAAAATAGTAAGAATTAATGCTGGCTTTAACATGAAATAAGGACTTCTGAATAACTTTATTGGGTTTAGGTAGAAGAGCTACTACAAAGTTTAGGAGATTATATTTAGAAGAAAGGAAATTTACATCAAAGGCTCTTGATGTATTACTGCTCAGTATAACTACATTTGAAATTAAACTGTGGAGAGCTCAATAATTCCATCATTTCTCCCTGTGGAAAAAAATCAATCTGTAAAGTAGTTCTAATAGCTGAATAGCTGTGTCTGGTGGTCTGACGTGATGATAGATCATTTGTACTGCTACTTTGCCTCTCCTGGCTTGCTAAGAATGTCACCTACTGTTCTGGCTGGAGGGAAAACCAAGGCAACTATGAAAAAGCTAGGAAGTGCAGACATCTGTCTTCAAGATATAAATGTTCTACCCTATCCACCCCCAGCATTAGATGGTATTTGGTATTTTAAAACCTGTGCTGTTTTAGATGACTTGTGCTGATTCCCGTTCCCCTACTGCATATTAATGTGCTGCTTTAGGAGCAGAAAAGGTACAAGTAGGGTGTAGTGTACTTCTCCTTTTGTTACAGTTGCTCACTGTTTGGGGAAGGGGGAAAGGGTTAATAATACTGACTGAATAAGGGATCTGACAGTAATTAAGAATATTGCCCTCTGCTGTGGTGTCCTTATAGTCACCAATTACTGTTTGTTTTCACAGAGACCACAGCAGTTGGTGAGCCTGCTCCAGAAGAGTTCGATAATTCTACCTACAAGAACCTTCAGCATCACGAATACAACATTTATACTTTTTTTGATTCTATTGAGGTTCTCTCCAAATTCAGGCAGCCTCAGCCATCTTCTGGAAGACCTTCACCAAGGCACTGAGAGAACAACATTTAAAACAAATGCTTAGGCAGAATGATAAATTGTTCTATTTAGCATTGTTGCTTCATCTGTATTATAAATCAGATAATGAATAATAAATGAATGCAGAATAACTTGTGCTTTTGAGCATTTCTTCTTGGTTCTCACATTCCCTCTCTTCTTGTCTTTTATGAATGAGCTATCAATAAATCATTACTGGATAAAAATAGCTTTGCTACCTCTCAATATATATTATTTGGTGATAGTGTAAAAGGCCTAACATTTCAGTGTCCCCACGTGTTTGAAACTGACCATTCTTTCAGTACAATGTCAAAGAACTTAATGGCCCTTGTGCATGTGCCTGTTCAGTATGTGCTGTGGTTTTAATAGGAGTTGTTATCACTGAAACACAGCCGTCTGTTCTCCTTGCACACAAATGTGTTCCCAGCTCTGAAGAGGTTATGTTTACTCTGGATTTGAATTTAAAATCATTGGCTAGAAACAGCGTAAGGAGTATTTGTCTCCAGTGGCAAGAGTGTATGTTTTGTGTTAGTGGAGGAATGTAACTTTGTGTAATGTTATTGAAACATCTCAAACGCTCTGCTGTTGTAGAGGGAGAGCATACAACTTTAATCTTCTGTTGGGGGTTCTAGCATCCGGGTTCTGCAGTAATTGAAATAACTTAAAATGTAGGAGAATCTCAGTGAGCAATTCCTAATGAACTGTACTACGTTGATTAAACTGAGAAATAATGACTTTTTAGGGGTAGAATCGTCTGAATGTTATTTTTAAATGTGATGAAAATAGTATTATGTTAATGTCAGCTCCTGGTACTAATTGTTCAGTGGAACTATGTTTCAGTTCCCAGTGTTGGGTTTTTACCCCACAATAAAAGTTAAGATTGCTGTCCAGCTTCACTCTTGCTCTGCAGAAAATGCGAGAAATGAAGCACATCTCAATATGTGTTATCAGCAGTTACAGTTGGTCTCACTAAATTTTGTATTCCCATCCTATTAGTAACAGTCTTCTGCCCTTTGGGAAAACTGCCTTGATGACCTCCAGCTGTTGAAGGTTTAGTTCCATTTTGGCTTTGTGTTCATTTTGGGGGTTTTTGGAGTTAATTGGTCTTTGAGCAGTTGTACTTGCAATAGCTGCAGTGTTTTCCATCACCTGTCTGTATTCTTTCAAGCAACAGAATACACAAGATCAAAGGGAAAACTTAGTCAGCCTTAGGAGTCTATCTGGATATTGGATGCAAATCCCTGGGTGCAATTAGTAGAACAGATATTTTATACTCTAACTTGGCAAAAATGTGGTAAGAAGGATCAAGAGGCCTACATCAACCTGCTGTGTAGGATTTTAAGTCAGAAACTCCTGGCACGCAATTTTATTGTCCTGTAAAAACTAAAAAGCGTATTACTGACTCAAACTATGAAATTTAAAAATCGGCAAATGTATAAATCCATGTGCTTAGCAATAAAGAGCAGAAAGTCACTTTGAGACACCAGTGGTACCATGTATGCTGTACTTATAAAAGGGAAAGAAATTTGCTGTTAACATTAAACACATGAAAGAGTAAGGAAAGGGGTCTTCCTTTATTAAGGGCCCACTGGAGGGCCCCAGTAAAGCTGCTGTGTTTTGTTATTAACTGAGACTTTGTGTGGTAACCTGAACCCTGTGGCTTAGATCTGTGTTGGTGCTGAACCATGTTCCTAACTATTTGTTTTCTGATTACAGGAGGAGGCTGCAAATTGTCAGAATCTAAACAGTGAAAGTTAAATGCAGTCCATTAATATGCTTATGTGTTTACTAAATCTGCCCACAGTAGCTGTGGCTGTGAGTTGTTTCCAGTCAGATTTACTCACCTAGCACCCTTTTTATTTCTAAGAAGGGTTGGTGTTGTAAACACTGACTTGCTCAGCTAAGCAGGATTGGGTTGAAACAGGAGTGTGTCTTGCTTTTACTGAACTCCTACACTTTTCTTAGCTAAGTTTCCAGCTAAGGAGATGCTAATCTGTATTCAGCCTATGCATTTTGCTACCCTTGTTTCACCATTACAGCAAAAATTAATGGTGAATGCTCTTCCTATCTGTGTAATCCTGCCTCAGTGTCTTCTGGTGTTCTTTTCTGCACCTCTAAAATCAAGCTGGAAATCAAGTAACTTCATGACTCTTGTACATACAGTGCATATCTTCTGTTTGTTCTGTTCAGTGAACCAGTCTGCTCTGGGAAGGGCAGATAATGTGAGGAAGGGCACCAAGACTTTTTCCCACTGTTGTGTTTTCTTGGACTTCAGTGAAGAAGGATTCTTTTTTAATTTGCACTTGGCTATTATCAGATGTTATTGTGTTTGAGTCACCTGCTAGTATTTAAGTTTCAAGCAGGATGTGATACAAGGTGCTCAAATTCTGTAACGTTAGTAACTTTGTCTTGCTGAAGTAGGCACTTGTCCCATACAGTCAGGGACCACCTTGTTTTAAAGAATGTATAATCCAGGATATTCACATAATTCCTGGAAAACCTCGAATATGAAAGAAATTAAGTCTCAGCTTAGTTTCTTTGAAAACCAGAACCAGCATAAAATTCAGAAGTGGTGTTTTCAAAGTAAATAGTGTGTTACTGGGGGAGAAGATAGAATCATGGAATCATACAAGTTAGGGTTGGAAAGGACCTTAAGATCATCAAGTTCCAAGCCCCCTGCCATGGGCAGGGACACCTTGCTCTAAACCATATCACCCAAGGCCTCGTCCAACCTGGACTTGAACATTGCCAGGGATGGAGCATTCACAACCTCCCTGGGCAACCCATTCCAGTGCCTCACCACCCTAACAGGAAAGAACTTCTTCCTTATATGAAGATAAGAATCTGGAAAGTGGAATTAGTAACTTCTCATTAAAAAATGCAAAGCAACTACTTGTCTTAGGGAGTGGTTTTCAAATTTTAGGTCCTTTGATTTATTTTTAGTGTAGCAAATTTCTTATGAAATCACTTTTCATAGTTTGTTTCTATTTAGATCTTTCAAAAGTAATTTAGGAGCCCAGAAGGTTCTGGACAGCAGTTGAAACCCCACTAATCCAGGCTGCAGAAGGACTAATGCAAGCAAAGTTTGGTGGTCACTTGAGTCATTACAAGGTCAAAATGTGTTTTGGTCCTCCTTGGTGCTTCCTTTCATGGATCCAGTCATGATAAGCACTGCAATCTATAAGGCTACCTTCAAATTAATTTTAAATTTGGGAAAATAAGACTTGTAACTGGGTGCACTTGCATATCTTGCACAGTATGTCCTCAGCTTTCAACAATAAAAACACATTCAGTGCATCTCTGGTTTCCTGGTTGCTATATGCACATAAGAGACAAATGAACATAAGCTATAAAAACCTCCCCTTAGCCTTTTCTCCCACCATAATAGATGCCATCATCTATGTTACTTGTACAGTTATGTTGAGCCTGCTACTAACATGTAATGAAAAAAGTGGTAAGCAGTTTTAAGGCTCTGTCCATGACATGCAGCTCTTTCTTCAGCTACTTATGTTAATGAGAATGTGAGCTGAGAACAGTCATCAGACTGCCCAAGATCTGTCGAGGGGAGGGCTTCTCAGCTTTATGCCAACCAGAATCCCAGTGCTCCTAAAGTGCTTTGGTGAGATTTTGTGATCTTGCAGAACTTGGGAGGAAGGGTAGTAAAAGCTAGTAGGAGCAGACACTGTCTGTTCCAAACAGTTTGAATTCCTGATGGGTCCAACCAATGACTTTGTGCAGTGTGAGTAGAAAACATGCTTACAGTATTCTGTAACATCATAACATTAGAATCATGCCAACTGAGTTTGGAGATGATCAGTCCTCTGCTCTGTAGCACATGCAATTAGACTGTGTTGTCCTGGACCTTGTCCAGTGGAGTTTTGATATCTTCAAGAATGGAGATCCTACAATCTCTCTGGTGACCTTCTCAAGCACTTGAGCACCCTCATGATTTAAAAAAGAAACAGATAAAAAAAACAAACAACCCAGCAAGCAAAACCTTTCTCTGTTATCTAATCAGAATTTTTGGTTTTCTGACACTGAGCCTTACTATGCACCTCTGGCAAGCCTGGCTTTGTCTTCTCTATACTCTCCAAGGAGGTAGTTGAAGGTAGTAGTAAGGTCCCCCTTATTCTCTTCTTCAGACCAGATAACCTCTGTTCCTTCATGCTCATCTTGTGCAACGTACTTCAGGCCCATTTTCATCTTTGTGTGTCACAGTGCACCCTTGGTACATCCTACTGTGCTCTGTAGCAACACAGGTTGCTGAAGTGCCTCTGAGTGTCTTCCTCATGTAGCTTATGCTTGAAGGTATAACATGCTAGAAAAGCACGTTAATTTTATTGTGGAATCTTCCATAGTCTTTGGGATGGCGCTTGCAAGATTCCTGTTGCTCAAGATGCTATGCAGCAACAGTAGTGGGGAAGGTTCAGGTCCCCACCGTCCTGTAAAAACAAACAAAAAAATCTAGGAATTGTTCTTGACCAAAGTATTTGCTATCTGCCTGTGACCTACAGCCTTCCTATGCTATTCTGTATTGTATGCTGTTGTTTGCATACAGAGTTAGACAAAGGAGCTAACACAATAAGGGTAATACAGGCACTTCACTACAGGTCCTTCAAATATTTGAGTGATTGACTTTGCAACCATGGTGTTCTTGTGTTGTGGCTTTGTTCGTTTATTTGTTCTGATTCTATCCCTTTACAGAAACTCCTCTAAACTCTGGATAATTTTAAGTGAACTGTTAGGACCCTAAACAAAATAACCTGTCAAGTTTCCAGATCATCCTTCTCCTCTGATGTGGTTCTATTTCATGGAATTATAAACACCCATTTTTATTTTCCATGATTCCATAGTTTCAGTACTCACATATTATTCTTAGTGCTCATCTCAGGATGGTACCACTCCCAATGCAATCTGCACATACTTATGAGCTCCCTTTTTGGTTTATTTTTTGGCCTAATCACATTCAGTTGCAGTCAGAAATTCATACCCACCTCAGAAAGTCTTAGGATACGTTTCCTAAACTCCCCTGTAGTATCCCTAACACTGAGCTATATTCCATTGTTTGAGGACTGGGACAAACATGATGGGAGCTGGAAAGAAACTCAGAATA